TTGATTAAATCGACAAGCTATAAATCGGTCAATGACAATCGCTTCTATTGAGAACTAGTACCAGGTCCCCGATGTGCAAAACTACGCATAGAACGCCTGTTTGATCGATCGAACGCTCACGGACGATTTTGGTGATTTCTAACGTATTTTGAGAGGTAAATCACCTTAAAGCAACGCTTAAATTGTCGTAGAACTTAAGTAAGAAGCGAATATTTCCTTGTTCTTTCCTCGAATTTTGCAATTTTGCCTGAATTATGCGATTTTTAACGAATTATGCGAAAAGTTGCGATTTGAGGTCAATTATGCGAAATCGCAACATCGCAGAATATCAGAAGCCCTGCTTATAACTTTGAAAAGACTCAAGTTCCCCTAGGATGACCGAGCAGATACAAATTTTATAGCGCCACTTAGAATGTATTTCTACAGATCTAAAAGTACTCTGGATTAGCCTAAAAAGTGTTTTCTACGTATTCAAGAGGAAATTGTCATTGGATGCCCCTGACTTAACTATAAGTACACTGAATGAATCTTTATATTCACTAACAAGTTGGTTCAATTTTCCTATTTTACACAACTGGCTTGGTTTCCCATCAAGTGAACTTAAGTAAGTAAGTAAGTAATGTTATTTAACCACATATCGCATACGAGCAATAGCTCGTTTAAATGCAAATGTGCCATAAAAATTACAACGTGATAATTTACATAATCTACATTTACAAGTGATAAATAAAAATAAGAAATAGAGAAATTAAATCAACTATAAAATAATAATAATTTAAAAAGAGAAAATATTGGTAATCAGATTGTCTATTTACAAAATACACAGTTGCAGTCATACGATGAAGACAACTGTATGTTTTGTAAGTTTTTCCTAAAGATAGAGAGGGACTCCGACATCCTTATTTTGTCTGGTAGATTGTTCCATTGTTTGCCAGCCTGGTACGTGAAGGAGTGTTGCATATAAGATGAGGTCGGTCTTGGAAGAACAACTTTAAGATGGCCCCATAGGCTGTAACCATTGCTTCGCAGTAAAAAGATTTCCCGAATGTAGTTCGGTGCCTGGTTATAAATGCTATTGTATACGAGTATCAGTGCTTGTTCTATGCGTCGATGTTCCAAGCTTTTGATATGTACAGTTTTAAGTAGCTCTTCATAAGCAGTCAATTTAGAGTAGTTAAGAAGAGTCCTAAGAGCAAATGCGTTGGTTGACTCTAGTTTTGCAGAAAAACCTTTACTTAGACCTATGAACAATGGTGATGTGTATTCAAAGTGAGGCAGAATAAATGCTTTGTACAGTTTAATCATAATATCTGAGGGTATAATTTTACGAATGCGACGAAGAATTGAAACTTTTGTGTTCACTTTCCGGCAAATTTCTTTAATATGTGCTTTAAAAGAAAGTGAATTGTCAATAATTACACCAAGGAGCTTGATCTGTGGAACGTAATCCAGTTCATTGCTGTCAATAATAAAGGGCATTGGTAGAGTTGCTCTATTGAAGACGATGGATTGAGATTTACTATGGTTAATCGTATTGTATTCGATTATTCTTAATTTGAATGTACCTAAGTCAGTGGCAAATACAAGCGCAATTAAAAGATACACTTATAGATAGACTTTTGCATGGGCAGTTATATCTATTTCTTTCTTTTTTTCTTTTTTTTTTGTATGTACCTGTCAGTTCCAAGAAGCCCACCACCAGCGTACCCCCTAGGGCATACACCAAGAATTTACTGCAAGGTTTATAGCTTTGCATAGTCAAAGATTTGATGCAAAATGAAAAGGATGGGCATCTGACTGTTGAACGATGGTGCAATTGCTCCTGTGACATTGTATTTCCCCCCCTTGTTCATAAGACATTGTTTTGTGAATATCAAGCCTTTATTTGACGTCTGCAGCGAAAAGAAAAGGGGGTTTATTGGTAACCCACTGGTGTAGCACAGTGGAAACAAAAATTGAGTTACAAAAACTCACATCAGCCGAGAATCAAGGAGAAAAGACCATACAAGATCATAAACCTTTACGCCAGGAAATGTTCTTTGAAAGAAACATTCAAATTAAGAATAATCGAATACAATTTAACACATTTTAATTTGCAGGCAGGGATGTCATCTTTAATTTTATGGAGCAACAGTGTGGAGTTTTAATCTTGGACAGATGCGCGTCGCTTTCGAATTCGTCGCCAAAACATGTTAGCATTTTAAGAAAAGATTTAAGCTCCTGACTAGATACAATTATATAACTTTTTTTTTTTACCTCTTTTGTAACTTTTTTCTTTCCATAGCAGACACAACAGCTGACCGTCAGAACAAGGAACAAGAACCAACCGCGAGCCGCCATGTTGGAACTTTCGCTAATTGGTACCCAGTCCATTAAAGAACCTCGTGCCTCGCAGCCTCCCCTCCCCGCAGGAAAAAAAAAATGATTAAGGGGAGGCTCCTGTATGCCAAGCCAAATGTAGCAATATTCAATATTTATAAATGCATTCAATTTAATACCTTTTTTTGCTATTTGCTTACTTCTATTTAATTTAATCCTCAATTTTCATTCAATTCAATCCCCAATCATTCAA